ATTAGGAGGCCTAATGGCTCCAGCTCTGGATGCCAAATGACTTAACCCTTTGCCTGCTGGGCGCTTAACCCCCAACCCAAGGCTGCTGGAGGGGCCGGCAGTGCCCCCTTTGCTCCGGTTCCCCTCCCTATGGCCCAATCATGTTTATCTCTGCCACCCCAGTGCCCAGCCCCCGCACTGGCCCAGAGGGGGTGTAAAAGTAAGGTTTAAAGAGTGAATGAATGAAGAAATGAATGAACGAATGAATGAACAAACAGGTACCTGAATGGGGAAAGAGTCTCAGCCCCTGCTGCAGGTGCTCAGGGGAGGAATGAGTCTCCATCTGCATGAGTAGGTGTGTGTCTGTGTGCATGCCTGTGTGTGCAAGTGAGAACATGAGGGCACCACACACGCACGCACACACGCACACACACGAGGGTCTGCGGTGTCTGCTTCTAAGAGACTTGCGTGAGTCTGCATCCACGCTCACATCTGTGATACTCATTCTGCGGCCTCCTGTCTGGACAGAGGGTACTCTGAGGGGGGACCCCAAGTGCCTCCCTTGATGCCAGCACCCCCGACACCATGTGGATAACAGTGGCTCCAGAATTTCTATAGGTGGCATTGGTGGGGGAGGGGGGCAACAGGGCCTACAGAGTTTGCCAAGAATCTGCATTAGCCGAGCAAGGGCGCTGCTTTTTAGATGGAATGTTTCTTTGGGAGGCTGGGTGACTGAGCCTCTAGCACAGGGGGAGCTGGTTTTGACAGCTGTCCCCTGCCTTTCCCAGCCTGCTCTCCCTCCTCCCCACCTAGCCCTAGTCCTGAAGAGGTGACAGCTGAGGTGGAGGCGGGGGAGCCCTGGGCTCCAGGCCGGCTTCTGCAGTCTGGGACAACTGGTTCTGAGGCTCCATATCCCTGCCGGACTCCCCTAATTGTGGAGCAGGTGAGTGGGCTGAAGGGAGAATGAAAAACTGGGAGAAGAGTTGAAGAGAAACAATAAAGGAATAGGAAGAGAGCTGAGGGAAGGGGGAGAAGGGGAGGAGAAAGGATGGGAAGTCCCAAGAAGGTGAGAGAGAGGAGGAGAGAGACGGGGGG